TGGTTAACAGAAACTGGGTCCTAGCAGATGGTAATGGCAGACGGTATGAAGACAAACAGCCTGCACTTCAAAGGATGAGTTTATACCAAAAAGATATGGAAAACTGGTTTGGCGTGTGGCTGGTGATTATAATGCCAGAAGTTTTCTCTTCTCCAACAGAATGTGAAGTAGGGTATGGGAAAAGGTTAGATTTCCTGATAGAGAAGGGAAGATTTGGCATCTTTTGGCAAGAGCTAGGTATACATGAACTTTATTTCATTCACTACAAAACTTAATACAAGGGTAGGCCTCTCTCCTTGTTGTCAGCTTCTCACCACTGACTCATTCTTTAACCTCTTGGAATCTGGTTTCCACTCTCAACCTACCATTGAGACTGCATCCTTAGAGATCACCAAGGACCATCAAATTGGCAAAGGCTATGAGATTCAGCCTCACCCTGTTCATCCTTCTGTACAACTTCATATGAAAGTCTCTCTATCCTTGGATTCCCTAACAATGTTGTGGTTGTCTATGACTTCTGTGATCATTTCTCATCATGCTGTGTTGCCTCTGCCTCCTCCAATAAAGCTCCATTAAAGCTGGCATCTCCCAAGGTTCTGTCTTTGGTGCCTTTGTTGTTGTTGTGCTGCTGTTGCTTCCATGGCATTATCATCCTCTTTTTTGTCTTCAAATATCACCTTTGTGTCCACAAGTCTGACTATGAACTTTCTTCTGAGCTGTGGAATATATTTTCACAATCTTTTCTACACAAGTGCATCCTATTCAGTCAGGAAACTATTGTGATACACCTGGTGAGCATGCTAAGAACCTGCACCAGGATGTTAATAATGGAGAAGACAGGATATTGTCACAAAACATTTGATGGATAAAATAAGCAGAGCTCTGTGATGCATTAGCTGCCCAAAGAGAAGGAGGAGGAAAAAGGAGGAGAGCTAGAAGGCGACAAAGCTGAGCCCAAATTTTGTAGCTTAGGTAACTTGTAGGATTGCTGTTTAGGTAACTTGGAGGGTGGATGTTCCTTTATGGGAGCTAAGAAATACATGGTAAGGGGCAGGTATTTGAGATCAGTTTAGGGCATTTTGAACACATCTCATCTCTCTGCCTTTTTTTGCCTTTTTAGTCTTTCTTTTTTTCTTAGTTTATTTTGTGCTGCTATAACAGAACACCTGAGACTGGGTCATTTATAATGAATCTCCATGGCTCTGGAGGCTGGGAAGTCCAAGATCAAGGGGCCAACATCTTGTGAGGGCCGCCTTGCTGCATCATCCTGTGGCAGAAGGTGGAAGGGCAAGAGAGCATGTGAGATAGAGAGATGGGGAAGAGGGCTGAACTCATCCTCTTATAAGGAGCCCACTGCCATGATAACGAACCCACTCCTGTGACAGAAGGGTTAATCCACTGAGGGCAGAGCCCTCATGATGTAATCACCTCCTAGAGGTCCTTCCTCTCAACACTGTTGCATTAGAGATCAAGTTTCCAACACACAGACTTTGGAGGATGCATTCAAACGATAGCACTTTCTTAAAGCTGCTAGAATTATCTTCCTAAAACACAGGTCCAATCATGCCATTCTCCTCAAAATTTTTTGTTAGCTCTTACTAACTACAGCGTAGTTGAGGCGTTCAGTCTCTCTGACAGGAACTGGAAGCCCTGCACAAGCTGGCTTTGTTTGGTTTTATTGTAATCTTCTAGCACAACAGAATCCACCAAGCAATTTCTCACCTTCTTGCCTTTGCTCAAGCTGTTCTCTCAATCTGGAATGCCCTCCCCACTTTTTCTGTCTACGAAAATCCCACTCATTCTTTAGATTGCAATTTGCATGCTACGTCCTGGGTAAAGCCTCCTCCCACTCCTGTTAGAATCTGTAGCTCTTTATTCAATATTTCCACAGCAATTTATGTGATTGTGTCCTACTATGATAGATCATACATTTGCTCAGACATGCATTTCTTCTAGGTTGATGAACTCCTTAAAGCTAGGAAATGTATCTTAATTATCTCTATTCCTTTTTTTTAATGTATTGATTATTTATTCACATTAAATAATCACATAACAATGAACACTTTAAATGTGTATCTGTATACCCCTAACATCAGTCATCTCACTTCCCACCAACTATACACATTTCACTTTTTCACATACAGCTTTACCTCAAACTTTAACTTAAACAACTGTACCTGAAAGAATGCTCTCACAGAAGAATAAAGGACCCAAGGACAGAAAAATATTGAAGCACAAGGTCAAAGATTTGGTCATATTTATCCAATTCTGTTCAAAGAACAGGCTAAACCAGACAGGTTCTATATTGTCCTCATTATGAAAATGTTCCAAATTGCTTGCTAGGACAGTTCCTCATATTGTTTATGGAGTTTTATATTTTTATTTTTATTTTTTTATTTCAGCATATTATGGGGGTACAAATGTTAAGGGTATGTATATATCTCCATTCTTTATCAGCTGCTAGCACATGACTTTCCATGTATTTGTTGCTCATTAAATAATAAATGGAAAAGAGAGGGAGACATTGATCATGGTTAGAGTGGAAGGGGAGTCTGGGGAAGAGAAGAGGTAGGTAGGGTAGGCTTGGACTTGCTTTAGGATATGTTCAACTTGGATGAAAAATCTGGGCTGTGAAGAACAGGGATGGAAAACAATGAGGGAGGCAATGGATTATCAGTCATGTGAGGGGGTCATATTTAAACACAGCATTCTGTGGCACAAAATCATGCGTGTACATATTTAGCCTTTTATCCACAGGCAGACAAGCCAAATTGTAATGTCCTTCAGCAGGAAATTATTACTCTGCCCATTTAAAAAGATACATGGCCTCTTTATGTAACTAAGAATCCTGCATATTTAGCTATTGCTGCTGCTATATCTATTGTCTGATGCCATAAAGAGATGAGACCTTGACTGATAGGATGGTGGTGACCCGCTGCCCTGCCCATTTATTTAATTGTAGAAAAGATGGGCAAGGGGATATTCTGATTAATGAGATTTGTTTGACCCCTAATTATTCTTTTCATATGTTAGACTCTTTCATCAACCTGTTTTTATTTTCTGAAGTACAAAAGAAAAATGAAAAATATTGTCTTTTAATATGAATCCCAGAATAGTAAAATTGGTGACCTTTCTTCTGGATGTTCACATACAAACATATTTATTATGTTTCTGTCTTTATTATGTATGCACTCTATGCATTCTTTATATACACATTCTATGTATCTATGTACCCATCCATCAGTCCATGTTTATTCCAATCTTCCATTATAAAAGGGCAGCTAGTTGAGTGTTAGAGATGGAAAGAAAGAGAGAAAACCCGTATCTGGGCTATTTTAATTTTCAATTAGCAGTTTTTCATGAGGGCAGCGATGGCCTGTTCAGCCCCAGGTTCCAGAGGGAGCTATATGCGCACAGAAAATGCCAGACAGATTTAACTGATTCATTCCTAGCTGGAGCGTGGCCCCCACCCCCTTTGTTGGACCCCCGTTCTCGGTGAGTTGGGCCTGAGAGCCACCAGGGCGCCTTTTGCTGGGGCTCAGGCTGGCCCCAGGCCTGGGTGGTGGCTCCGCCCCTCGCCCCCTTCCGGCTCTCACGTGACTGGGCCGCGCCACCGAGGCTCTCCGGGGTGGGAGGCAGGCCCCGCCCCCGCCCCGTGTCTGTCGGGTGGCTTCCCCCTAAGGGATTCCTGGAAGAGCTGCATCCTGTTAGAGAAACCAAAAAGCCCGAGAGGAGAGGACGCTAAAGAGGCCCTGCCCCAGAGGCGAGAGGGCCTTTACCTGCTCCTCAAGTGCTGGCTCCTCCATTCGTGCCATCGGTCCTCAGGGCGGGGACAGGGGAAGAGCTTCAGCTGTAGCTCTCGGTCCAGAGGCTGAAGTGACGGCAACATTCATACCATTTAGGATCATTTCACCGGACCCGGTCGTTTCCCACCTCACACACTCTCCTCATCCAGCCTTCGCTGTGGCAGCCAGCTGTGGTCAGGTGCCATCACAGCACCTCACCTGGGCTTCACCCAGTAGCTCCCGCCGTCTGCCTGCCCGGGGCTCCTTAGCCACCCCAGTCTTTAGTACATTCTTCCGTTATGCTAAGACTAAAATGTCTTTCATTATAGCGGTTAAAAGAAACCATTGACTCTACTACTGAGCACTTCTGAAAGCTCGGTGGTCCCAACTGCCTAGTTACCAGAGGAGGCTGGAAGCAGTCAGAGGCGGGCTGGGGAGGTGACAGTGGGCAGGACAAAGCCTCTCCATTCCACCTGTCTCACCCCTAATTCATGTAACCAGACTCAGTATCCACAGTGTGGTAAAATACGTTTAAGCCACCTTCAAGCTGACTGAGGGCAATCCAAGCATGGGGATTTAGCTTTAATCAGGACAGAAAAACTCTAGACCTTCTAAACTCTGAAGTGAGCAGAAAAAATATTTTTAGTCATTTTCTTTCCCCTCTACTGAGCCCGCTGTGGCTTGAAAATGTTGAGGTGCCATTTTTGCAGTGTCTGCCTTGCAATCACTCCTGCTTCAGAAGGATTTTTCTTGTTTAGAAAAGAGAAGTAGAATCACAGATTATTATATGTTGTCTGTCAGGGTGGGAAGGGGTCTTAGAGATCGTTTAGTTCGGTCTCTCTTTTTATAAGATCCTGAATGGTATGTCATAATCACAACCCTGGTTTGTGTCTGAGCCATGCTGCAAACTCAGGCAGTCTCAGACTCCGTGGTAATGTCCCTTGTGGTTGAAAAACATTACATATGTGATCCAGATTTTCTCACTAACCATGGTAGAAAACCACCTGTAGGGACTGGTGTAGGAGAAATTGATTTTGGAGTGTGAATTAAGGTAGCTTCTCTGTTCCAAGTTTATAATTCTACTGAAAACCAAGAACTAATAAACTAATACTTCACTGTACCAAAAAGAAATTTCAAGGGGACACAGTGAATAATTTTCCTTTTCCCTTTTAACTCCTACCAATGTAAGCAGATTTGTATTTTTCTGTTTTACAGATCCAATTACAAAGAAAAAAATATGGAGCTCTACTACTTCATGAAGAATGGACCTTGATTAATACCCAAGACCATTCAGACCTTGGACAGGGGAAATGGGGTCTTTTCATTCCCAGGAGTGACCATACTGCATTTCCCCTGCCTGTTTATGGGCATTTCCTGGTTAGTAAATTGTAGTTATTCACAAAATAAGCCCCATTTTGTGCGGGATGCCTCTCTTCTGAGGAAATGATGTAAGAAAGAATGTTGGCTGGAGTATCTTGAATATCCTGAACCTCCCAGGGTACCCTTTTACCGTGTGATTTTGCTCACGGGTTATAAGGTGCTGCTGGGAAGGAGCCAGTTCTGCATTCTCTGTCTTCTGTAAGCTCAGATGAAATCACTTAGCAGCTGTCCCCTTCCTTCTCTCCCTACACTCTTGCATGCTCCCGTCTGCTGTCCTTCCTTGCTCCCCACAGGGTGGAAGAACTCAGGCAGCTAATGAGATGTGTCTTCTCCTTCAAATTGTTCACAAGTCCCGAATGACCTTTGGCAGGCAAGAGTTCTAATGCGATGCCTCTGACTATGGGGAGGAGACACAGGTGCTCAGCAAGTCTTGATATTTCTCCTTGTTCCCGTGACCAGCACTGTGGCTCTATTAAATGGTCAAGCACAGTTTGTTGGTGACCACCAAATGATCAGTCAGTAGTGTGTGCAATCATAGAAAACATGGCCTTGAGTCTTAGCTTAAAATGTATTTATGGGCTGGGCTCAGTGGCTCACGCCTGTGATCCTAGCACTCTGGGAGGCCAAGGCGGGAGGATCGCTCAAGGTCAGGAGTTCGAAACCAGCCTGAGCAAGAGTGAGACCCCGTCTCTTCTAAAAATAGAAAAAAATTAATCGGCCAACTAAAAATATATAGAAAAAATTAGCCAGGCATGGTGGCGTATGCCTGTAGTCCCAGCTACTCGGGAGGCTGAGGCAGAAGGATTGCTTGAGCCCAGGAGTTTGAGGTTGCTGTGAGCTAGGCTGATGCCATGGCACTCTAGCCTGAGCAACAGAGTGAGACTGTCTCAAAAAAAAAAAAAGTATTTATATAGCATGATAGTAGGAGAAATGTCTATGATCTTGGATTCAAATTCACACAACAGCCACAAGACTGGTTTGGAGATGCCCAGGTCCACATGCAGTGTTTTCTAGATAAGCCGAGGTGGGAGAGGATATGGTCTGTTTTGTTGTGATGGTTCTGTTCCCACAGAATTTCTCAAAGTCATGGGAAGCTCTTTTCAGGGGAAATGATTACCAAACTCATGTTTGTTTTCTTTATATTGCTGGCTATTATCAACCACAGGGAAAATGTGAGGTAGTTGTGGAGTTTAAGAAAAAAAAATGTGTATACAAAATGAGAAGCCACTCCATCTTGTAGTGCTAGCAAAAAATCAAAGAAGTCTGGGTTATTTTAATATTTTTAATAAATACCAGCTACCCCAAAACAAAATGGTATCTGAATCAAAGAAAGAACTTGATTCAATCATCTAAAAAATAGCTAGTGGATGAAAGAATGAAGGAGAAAATAAATAGTGTCTGATTAGTAACTGATCATTTTCGAAGTGGCTTCTACATTATCTCATTTAAAAAAAATAAAATTGATCTTTTTAAATGTCAAAGTGGCTCACAATTTCTTGAAATGAGCATAGGACATAATATTTATAAGCATGCAAATTACAAACCAGGCAAAACATTCTCTTCTGCCGCTTTATATATTTTTATCAACCATCACAGATTCATGGAAGGGTCTCAAATGTATAAAATTTTAAAAGGGATTAAAAAAATTGTCTTAACTCATCAGTGTGCTTTTCATCTCTCTCTCTCTCTTTTGTGGTCTTAGTTTCTTTCTCTGGTATCTTCCCTTGAATGGTGAGATATTAGTACTTGCATTTGGATAGATTATTAGTTTGCAAAACATACAATTTTTCCCTTACTTAAAACCTCATAGTTGCCCAACTTCATTAAGATAAATGGAATTATTCATCTGTTCCCCTCACTCCCTCCACTTTGGCTATGGGGCCAATAAAGTGATGTTTAGTTGGATAGGGTATGGCTGGTGAACACTTCTAAAAGTCACTAAATAATTTCAGGAAGGAGCCAGCCTGCCACTGTCCTGAATGATGAATATGCTCTCAACCTTAATGGCCATGAATGACTTAAACAATAATAACAGTTTGCATTGTAACCATGGCTGTTCAAAACTTGTATTTGTAATAGTTATAAGAATGGACATTTCCATAATCTGATTAAAATACACTGAAAAGTGAAAAAACAGAACAAAGCAAGACAGACAAAAAACCCTGAGACTAACAGGTAGTCAAGGATGGCAACCAAGAAAGAAAAAGAAACAAGAGTATAGCCAACCTTTTTTTTTTTTAATTAGAGTATATTATACTTTCAAACTGGATACACTAGAAATTGGCAATGCAACATAAGATGCAAAGGAATATACCAGTTACTGTCAAAATGACCCTGTACAGCCTTGTAATGCAAAAAGCTTTATACAATACAAATTTTCAGTAATGTACACAAACCTTGACAGTATGATCATCCGAATGAACATAATATGAGTTAAAAAAAGGATAGAAGAAAGTGCTGAGAACCCTAACTGCATTACTATATGGAAAAATAAGCTAGCTTTCATTGAAGAATGCATAGTGACAACAGAATTGAAGTTAGTTGGTAGATGAATTTCTCAAAGATGTTAGTGTTTTACACGGAAAGGATATCTATGGAATACATCCTTCCCTGAGTATCAAACTGCAAACCAAATTCGAGGGTATGTATTATCTAGGTGGAGTCTGAAAAATGCTGTAGATTTTTTTCTTTATTAATAACAGTAATAATATAAAAAGTCAAACAAACTCCAAACACACCTTTCTCACTCAGAAAACTTTTATAATTTACCAGAAAGATTGGTGACTCTTTCCAAAGTGCTAAAAAAGTTGCCCAATTATATTAAGCATTACTAAGTCATTCAAATACAAGTTCAGTGGCAAGCAGTGAAATGCATGGCATTTGAGCAGTAAACGTCTCCTTCCTTCACCCCTCTTGCTCTTCAAAGTCTCAACCCTAGGACCCCCTATTGCACAAGTGGCATGCTGTGAAAGCTATAGTCCTCACTGTCAGGGCCACCCTTTCAGGTTTTTAACCTGCTGGTGCTTAAGTGTGATTTACCTTTTTCTACCAGCCTCTGTGGGATCACCATGGCTGTCTTTCCTGTCATCACTGAACTTGTAATTTTGAAAACATATTATTAGCCAAATGGCACATTCTCCATTATATGGGGAAAAAGACATGACTTTCAAAAAAAACCCAACCCACCCATAAGCCCAGTATTCTTGGAGTGTATTGTCCATAACTGTCTATATAGTGTCTTTTACTGAGACATTGCCATGGCGAGGTTGAACAATGCTTCAAACCCAGCCAAGAGTAAAGGTCTCTGCTGGAGGATGACTGAGGGTGTGGGAGCTTCCTGCCCTGGCCAGTTGGACCTCCCTGCCTCCATGGACATCTCCTTAGTGTAAACAGATTTGCCAGGGCACCGAGCAGGCTCCCCATCCATGGCTGGATGACTGGGGAAGGGAGGTGGAGCACCCCTGCTTGGTCTGGGGAGAGAAGGGCGGGAATGGAGGGGAGGAGGGATTGTGGTGTAGAAAGACAGTACAGTCTTCTGGCTTCCTGTAGAACTGTATTAATATCCAGGGGCCTTTCAGTGAAGCAAACTGACTAGAGGAAGAAAATTAGGGATGGTTTTATTTTCCCCTGGTGAAACAAACAAACAAAAAAAATCCCAACTCCAGGATAACACATGATGGAAAACAGCAACACAGTAAGAAAGTGTTCCTCTTGTACACCAGTTCTTCAATAGATAAATAATATATAAACTTTTATATTCCAAACTTCCCATTATTATACAAAGCACATTCCTTCCTGTTCTTTCAGCCTGTTTCATATTGGAAATTCTGTTGTTTTAAAAATACAAGCAATGAACATATTCAGCCAAAGATTTTTTTCCTTTTTTCTTTTTCAATCACCCATTACTTTTTAAGAGTAGCAAAGGGCTATGCGACCAATCCACACCTGCTTCCTGCTGCAATAAAGTGCTGCACATAAATTGCCATTTTAATGACCACAAAATAAGAGCTTTAAATAAGTATAAAGTTAGCCTCCTAGCAGGTTACATCTACCAGGCGTTAACAAAATGGAATACAGAATTACTAATAACATGGAGGATATCGCTATAAGCCAGAGGATCTGCAAACACAGCGGAAACTTCTCAGGGGCATAAACTGAACCATAGGACTAAACAGCACCTTTTTGTTGTGTCATTATACGTCAAAGAGGATGTGGCTAAATTTTCAAACATACAGTCTACTCATTCCATAAAAAAGGTACATTTTCTTCCTTTTATTTTACTTTTTTTTCAGATGAGAAACAAAAACTAGTGCAAGACCATAGCACTGTGCAAAACTGCCGTTTCTTTTTTTTTTTTAGTCTGAGCATTTATACCCAGAATTTATCTGAACCCCTTTTAATCTCCTTGGCTGGATTTATCAACCATAATATTTTCACTCATACAATTTTTTTTTCTGCAAACAAATGGTAACCACTGAATTAATACATCATATATATATATATAATCTGCCCTTAAAAAAATGATGCACTGTGTGTGTGCGCCATACACATTATCTATGTGTGGGCACACGCACAAAACACACTTAAGTTTTGTGATGTTAGCTGCAGTGCTGCGAGATATTTCTTCCAGATCAGTCACTTGATTCCTTGCATCTTCAAAACAAGAGAAGATCTGAGTGCAAGGTCTCCAGCACTCTGTCGGAAACCTCCAGCAGCACTGTAGATGTCTACCATGCCTTCATCCACTAAGCACCAAGCCCTACCACTTTGTAGCTGTAAAATAGAGAGGGAAAGGTGATGAAGGAGCTCAGGGAGAGACTGCAGAGGATAAACAACCTAGGCGGGAAAAGAATGTTCATCGCTGTTAAAGAACCCAGTACAAAGAAGGTGCAATAGAAATGTCATGGCACAAGACACACGGGCTTCTCTTTCAGATCCACAAACGCCCACACACCCCATTCACCCAACAGAAAACCAAATGCACCAGTAGATAAGCTTACAAGTGCTGATTGCTATTAAGGACACTCTCTTTAGGGTTTAACAAGACAAAATTCCTTTCAGAGAAAAGTACGGAGAAGGGCTGAGAGTAGGAGTGGGTGGCTGGGGGGCATGCCTCTGAAGGTAGAAGTATGCAGTAGGTCACCTCTCTGAAGACTGGATAAAGCAGCTTTCAGGTCAATGCAATAGGTATACACACAGAGCCAATTCTCTATTCCTTACTAAAGATATACAGTACACGTGGTTCAGACCCATGGGGGTCTGTAGGTTTTGCAGCAAAATACACCTGCTGGGGTTGTGTTTAAGTTTTGTAGGTTTTTTTTTTTTTGTCTTTGTGTCTTTGTTTTTGGTACAGAACATGGCTGCCCTCAGACAGTCTCTGCTCTTTCTCTTAGTCCGAGATAGGCGAGGAAGGAGTGTTTCGGCGAGGGGATACTGGGGGGCGCAGTCTGAGGTCGGGGAGGGTGGAATGTGAGATCCAAGTGGTTCTTGGGGTATAACATTGTCAAGGGAATGAGATGGGCAAAATCCGAGTTCCGGTACTTGTCAAAGCGCAAAGGGGAGCCATTGAAGGCCAAAGCCTTGAGTGCCAGGTTGGGCTCTGAGCCGCTGCCGTGGGCGGCTGACAA